GCAGGTGTTGAAGCTGTGACAATTTCTGAAGCAGAGCCTGTGGTTTTAAGCATAGTCCTGAAGATAGGAGAAGTAGCAAGTCCTGAAGAAAGAATCTTTAATCCTCCTTCTTCCTTGCCAGCCAAGAGAGGAGGCCTGGGAGACAGCAAGTCAAAGCTCCCAGCCCTGGCCGGGCATCTCCTTCCAGCGACTGTTGAGGGAGGAAACTCCACAGGGATCCCAAAGGGGCAACAGGCATCACAACTCACCAGCCTTGCTGAGGGAAGGTGGAAAGGACACTGACCATGGCATTGAAGCCCTCAGTGGCCGTGCCAGGGTGGTTGGATGGGCTACAGAGCAGCTAGACGGGGCAGAGAGCGAGATGCTCTGGGCACGCAGGGATGATTTACGCAGCCTCCCTTCGGCACAGGAAGCCCTTCACACGGAGTTAAACAGAAACAGAAGGGAATAGAGGCTTTTTTTTAGAAGGAAATCATTGACTTCTCTCGGGCAGCACAAAGGGCAAAAGAATAGCAAACGGCATCTGGCTTCTGTTAGGACATGCAGCCTCTGCAAATTACAGCCCAAATGAATTAGACCCACCCAAAAGCCTGATCAGTATCATCTGATGCAGGCAGCTTAATTCAGGATATGCCTCTTTGATTTCTCAGTATAATATAAATTAAAAAAAAAAAACCCAAAACCCAGAGACGAATTATCTACGGGGCCTTGAGAGCACTTCTCATCAGCTTCAGAATACAAAAAAGCAGGAGAAAGCAATATACAACTACCAAAGCAGGTAAAGAGAAGGTGCAACCAACAGTCTCTAGCACAACGGGGCTGCCACAGAGCAGCTGCCTGAGCCTGACAAATTCAAGGGAAGATGAGAGAAAAACAAGTCCACCAGAGAGGAGCATTCCCTGGAAATCATTTCACTACCACGAGCTGGACTTCGAACTCAAGGTGACCAATTGCTGAGTTGCTCGAACTAAGTTTGTCCAGGTCAATTTAATAGCACTCCTCTTACAGAGACCCCCCGAAAAAGATTTCAAAGAACTGAGGAAAAAAGCGCTGAGCTTCACCTACCCACTTCTGTTACGTGTATTTGCAGGTCACTTTCCTCCTCCTCACCTTCTGACAATGCTGAAACATTTCTGGTTTAATAGCAGAAGGCTGCTAAGCAATGCAGCTCAGAATATTTTGATTCATGAACAAAAAGTTTAGGAGAAGGTTTTAAAAATATTGTATAAGTAAAAAAAAATAGAGAATTTTTTTTTTTTCCTTCACTTGATATAGAAACTTGTCTTCAAATATAAATTTTTTCTAGCACAAACAGCATCAAGCAAATATATGCACCACCACGTGAGGTGTCTCCCCCATGTGTACCATATCTTGATAATTAGGGCATCCTCCACAGCTGAGGGAGATCAAATCCACTTTCCTCTTATGCCTAAGGAGATTCAAACTCTTTGGAGAGTGAGACAGTCAGAGGATGTAGGCCGTTTTGGAGCTGGGTGGCTGTCACCTCCTCCTGAAACTGCACAATTTTATGTAAAAGGTTAAAAATCTTCTTTTGGGAGGAAGGTGCACAGATGTAGGTGCCTACCTGCAGGTTGGCAGGTGCTGCTGCCACGAGGGTGAGCGAGGCGAGTCGGCGGGATCCCCACTCCCACAGCTATTTGCATTTTTTACACGAGCTGGTCACTGAACAGGCAGAGACAGGTAAATCAGGGGACTTCATGGCCATGGTCAATCATGGGATTTGCTGTGCCCAAGGGCCATGACAGAATGTGGCACAAGGCCATAAGGAACAAGGTTCCTAGGCTTTGCTTTTTGACTCCCTTTCCCCTCTCACCAGCTACCTACAATGCTAAGGGTGGATTTTTTTTTTTTCCTAGGCAATTCATTCAGTTCTCTGACGAGAAGGAAGATCAATAAGGTAACAGTAGTGGCTCAGAGAAGTAATGGGACTTGAATATAGTGATTTCTAAAGGGTCTTTTCACTCCAGACACTGCGTGCACAGAGATTTGCAGCCCCATCCTCGTTCCTTCAGCCTGGCAACACACAAATGGTCCTCCACAAGGTCACCTCCTTCCTGTTGGACTCCGGCGCCTCGGCAGAGGATACCCATTCATCCAGCAGCTAACCCAATTATGTGTAATTATAGTAATGCTAGGAGAGCAACCTCCACCGTGTTTAAAACATTACCAGGAAATAAGCCATACAATGCAGGGCATCTGAAATGAGAGCTCAGGGTCACAGGCAAAATTCAAATGCAGTGTCTCCAAATTCAAGGGAAGATGAGAGAAAAACAAGCCCACTGTGAGAGAGCAAGTCCACCAGAGAGGAGCATTCCCTGGAAATCATTTCACTACCACGAGCTGGACTTCGAACTCAAGGTGACCAATTGCTGAGTTGCTCGAACTAAGTTTGTCCAGGTCAATTTAATAGCACTCCTCTTACAGAGACCCCCCAAAAAAGATGTCAAAGAACTGAGGAAAAAAGCGCTGAGCTTCACCTACCCACTTCTGTTACGTGTATTTGCAGGTCACTTTCCTCCTCCTCACCTTCTGACAATGCTGAAACATTTCTGGTTTAATAGCAGAAGGCTGCTAAGCAATGCAGCTCAGAATATTTTGATTCATGAACAAAAAGTTTAGGAGAAGGTTTTAAAAATATTGTATAAGTAAAAAAAAATAGAGAATATTTTTTTTTCCTTCACTTGATATAGAAACTTGTCTTCAAATATAAATTTTTTCTAGCACAAACAGCATCAAGCAAATATATGCACCACCACGTGAGGTGTCTCCCCCATGTGTACCATATCTTGATAATTAGGGCATCCTCCACAGCTGAGGGAGATCAAATCCACTTTCCTCTTATGCCTAAGGAGATTCAAACTCTTTGGAGAGCGAGACAGTCAGAGGATGTAGGCCGTTTTGGAGCTGGGTGGCTGTCACCTCCTCCTGAAACTGCACAATTTTATGTAAAAGGTTAAAAATCTTCTTTTGGGAGGAAGGTGCACAGATGTAGGTGCCTACCTGCAGGTTGGCAGGTGCTGCTGCCACGAGGGTGAGCGAGGCGAGTCGGCGGGATCCCCGCTCCCACAGCTATTTGCATTTTTTACACGAGCTGGTCACTGAACAGGCAGAGACAGGTAAATCAGGGGACTTCATGGCCATGGTCAATCATGGGATTTGCTGTGCCCAAGGGCCATGACAGAACGTGGCACAAGGCCATAAGGAACAAGGTTCCTAGGCTTTGCTTTTTGACTCCCTTTCCCCTCTCACCAGCTACCTACAATGCTAAGGGTGGATTTTTTTTTTTTCCTAGGCAATTCATTCAGTTCTCTGACGAGAAGGAAGATCAATAAGGTAACAGTAGTGGCTCAGAGAAGTAATGGGACTTGAATATAGTGATTTCTAAAGGGTCTTTTCACTCCAGACACTGCGTGCACAGAGATTTGCAGCCCCATCCTCGTTCCTTCAGCCTGGCAACACACAAATGGTCCTCCACAAGGTCACCTCCTTCCTGTTGGACTCCGGCGCCTCGGCAGAGGATACCCATTCATCCAGCAGCTAACCCAATTATGTGTAATTATAGTAATGCTAGGAGAGCAACCTCCACCGTGTTTAAAACATTACCAGGAAATAAGCCATACAATGCAGGGCATCTGAAATGAGAGCTCAGGGTCACAGGCAAAATTCAAATGCAGTGTCTCGATGTTAAAAAAAAAGAAGAAAAAAAAAATAAAAATCAATCACTAGGCTCTCCCAAAGCATTTCACCTCTAATTGAAGAGTGAATTGTGTTTACTTACCTGCTCATGTTCTTGACTGTCTCCCAGCGAATGAATCGTGATTACACTACGTAAAATTCAGTGTTTGAATTTCTTACGATCCCACAGGACTGGATTCCACACTTTAAGACACACGTGTAAAAAAAAAAAGACTGAACTCTGAAAGTTCATTGTCTAGAAAAGTATTTTAAATATGGCTTGTAGCCCTTCCAGTTCCTGCTTCCACAGCTAAAGTGTGTAAAAGAAAGGCCACCTATCTAAAAGGTAAAAGAAAAGCTCTTTCACATTCAGGTTAACAATGGTCAAGGACCTTGCAGGCTGCTGTCATCTTGGGTGTACCTAAAATTGTACCAAGACACATAGAGACTTTAGACACAGAAAAATCTCAGGCTTTTTTTATAATGTATATGCATCATTCTGGAGTGCTCAACTCCTACCTATTTTAAAGGTGTTCCAAACTGCAGCTTAAGTGAAAAACAACACAGGCTTTTGTCTGGTAAACACACTTGTGACTCAAACATTGTCATCGCTGAAGCACAATAAGGAACTCCATGCAGCATTTATGAATGAAGAATAATTTATCAGAACAAGCTGGGAATTTGAGTGAACATGGACATAATAACGAGAAAAATTCTAAACATTTCCCCCAACCACTGTGCTGTATGTTTTAGGAGCCAAATCCCCAAATGTATTGTTCATCCTCACTATTTGAACATGATGGAACAGATTCTTGGGCTGTCATCTTTTTGTGGCAGAACAGCTTTGTAGCTGGAGTACCAAAAACTGGGTAGAGTATCTCTATGTAGCAGAAGAGTTCCTGGGTACTGTGGCTGGGACATCAGCAGCAAGCAGATGGGCTATCTATGTCTTCTTATCTACAGCTGTTTTATGGCCTCTTGAAGAGGTATGACTTGTACCTCTGCCTGTAGCAGTGGTGAGTTGTGTTTGGGACATTACTGGTCCAAGGGATAGGAAAAGCACAAACATAATTTAAGATGATCTGGTACCTCATTAGTGAACACTTTCTGGGTGTCAACGCTGCAATTTCTAAGGGGTCTTAGCTGTTCCAGCACTGCCTGCTAAGACACAGGTATGTTGCCTCCTCATCAAACTCCCATAAGCCTATGAAGCATCATTCCGCCGTCAGCTTCACCTGAAATAAAGACAATGTAGAACCAGAGGGAAGTTCACTCATTCAGAAACAGAGAGGAGACCAAGCAGGTGGTAGAAACATGACCTTTCTCCATGAGGTCAAATAGCTTTATTGTGATTAAGCACTACAATACAGTATATATCCATAAAAAAACTCTATAGTGTATATAAATTATTCCTTCCATTCAGTAATTCTTTTTTTTTTTTTTTTTGTTCTGATCTTTTTAATTTCCATTACAGCTTTGGTACAATGTGATTTTATTATATTTTTAAATACTTTTAGCTTCACAAACTCAACACAAAGTACAAAACTAATCCGAATCGGGGATATTACAATCTACACAGTGGTGTTCAGTGGTAGGAAAAAATCTTACCTCAATGAATTCATGTCACTAGCTAAGCTATAAAGGCATACCTAGCAGACATGACAAAAATATGCACCATTAACCAGCAAACATTTTATTTTTTTTCAAAATTTATTTTATTTTTATTTCTTTTTTTTTACAGATTTTTTCCAGCAGCAAATCACTTGAGCATAGTCAGTACTTCTGTCCTCAACTGATCATCCTGTGGTGTTCCTCTTCGTTTGAAGGCCATGAGTTATTTGTCAAATAATGCACCGCTACCCTCGGATATCCACGCCAGGCCACCGTGTCAGTACTTGACCTGCCACCCTGCATTGTTAATGCTCGCACAGTTTGTCCTGCAGCTGGCAGAAATAACTGGAACGTTACTGGAGGGGCAGTGCGGGGCGATCAGACGGAGGTTGTTCTGTGGGGCAGGAGGTATGACATTACAGTAGACAGGCATTCCAGTGGCTGTAAGTGTTCCTTGACCTGATTGATTAGGTAGCATGAGCGGTTGTTGATACGATTGTTGTGGCAATCCTTGAGAACCCTGGGTCATTGGCACCTGGGTTGGAATACAGAAAGACAGAAGATAAAAAAAAAAAATAAAATAAAGTAGGTCCCAAGCATCCCTATCTTCCTTCCAGCTGAATCTGAATATACAACATGCTGCCAAAATACGTCGTTTTCCACTGCTCGTAACAGTTCTCATCCCTAGAGGATCTTCTTTGTTAGAGAAGGGGTAAAGAGAAGCCCTTCTGCTCCCAGGTCCAGAAAGTGGCTCTGTCACGTTCTAGCTGAATGTGAATTTCTGGGATCAGTGCAAACAGCATATATAGGCCATTTAAAAGGTCTAACCCTTTAACTTAATCATTAACCTTTAAAACGCAGTTTCAATATGGTAATTCTGAAGATAGAAGGGGAAAATTTTACCCATAAGCAATTCCCCCGTTTCCACCTTGGTTGCTGTAGCGTTTTCAGAGAAGCCGAGGGAAAAGGTGAACGGCTGCTAAATCAGTGCAATCTATTAAAATGAATCAGATGTCATTCAGTACCTTAGCTTTCCAGAGGGACCAGCAGGAAACGTAAACCAAGTATAAAGTTGGGAAAGTATGTCTGGGTAACGTACAGACTTGGGAAAAATTAAGCCACTGCCTTCCCTCTCCACTAAAACGCAATAAATAGAAAACTTTCTATGTGGCTACAGCTCGTTATTGAAGACATGGTGGGATCCTTGGCAGGAGTCTCCACAGATGAGTAATTACTAACTGCTTCAGGCAAAGCCCTCAACTTCATTACAGGAAACAACACTGCACTGGCAAATAAAGAAAAATTAGAAAAAAAGAAAAAAAAGAAAAAAGGGAAAGAACCATGTTCTGTCTTTTATTTTTTTTAAGTTCATTTTCTTCACAGGAAGAAGTATAATTCCTTCTTCATTTCTGACATTTTTATCTGGGCTCTAGTCTGTAATAAATAGTTCATTTGAAGTATTCTCAATTCCAAATGAAAATCAGGAAAGAGGGAGGAAAGAAACGGCTTTGACTCAGAAGCGTATTTATCAGGAGGCCTCCTGCCACACGCTGTCCTCATGAAATACCAAAGACCATTCTGCAACACGACAATGTAATTCAATTAAGCACTCTCCAAAAAAAGCAGCCTTTCTTTTGGGCTCCCAAGTACCTGATAAGACGACATGGCTGGATACTGCACCATCATGCCTTGCACCTGATTTCCCTGTTGATTATTCATCAGGTTCTGGCTTTGGGGGGGCTGCTGCATTCCCATGAGACCCTGGAACCCCTGCTGCTGGTTGGGCAGGACGGGCTGGTAACCTGGAAGAAGAAAGACATCTTCAAATACCCAGTCACTTTTAGGGGCGAAATTAAAACCGGTCTCGGGAACAGCAAACGATCCCATCGTTTCTCACTGCATTGGTCAAAAAGTTGCTCTAGTTCTAAAGAAACACCACTGGAAGTGAAAAATTGAAGGGGGACACACACATCTTGTGAGCTTGCAGCCCCAGCAGGCTAACGTGACCAGGTGACACGCTTTCTTCACCCTCTTCAACCTGGCGGCAGAGACCAGCTTGAGGGATGCCTGGCTGCAATGCAGCCCCGAAGAGACACAGAGTGCTACTGGCTTCTGGCTGCTTTCTCAGGGGCAAAACTCCCCCTGGCCTCAAGGACATTGGTATTTGGCCTCCGCAGTCTAATCTGGTAGTTCTCTTACAAGTCACGTTTCTTATCTTACCCTCTTACCTTTCTTGTAATGCAGCTCCCCAGCACGACGTTAAACAGAGGCGGCTTTATTTAATCAAGAAGAACATCTGTATGCACACTGGCTCCTACTTGGAAAGCTTTTTATACAATTAGAGGATATCTGGGGTCATGTTCCACCCTAGTAGGGTTGTGTTGTGTTTGGCAAAAGAGGAAAACTGTAAATTAGGGAGTGCCTGGTCCTCCCCTTTGCTGGGAGGGTGGGAACACTGCTGGTCCAGAAGTGACTGCACGGGGAGGAGAAGCTGAGGCTTCTGTTTCCACCTGGCTCTGTGTTCCAGATCAGCAGGACACGGGACGCTTTCTGCTGGGATGGCTCCTCTAGGACTAATCAAGAAACGGGCAGTGTCTGGATGATCAGGAGGGCGACGCTGCTAATGAGGTGGAAGCAACACAACCCAGCCCAAGAACGAGCCTTGCAGGGTGGAGGTGGGCTTGACTGGGTGATGCTACTATGGAGAGATGAAGGATTTTGCAGAAAAAGTGGGGAAGGAAAAGAAGATTCAGAAAGTTCCCGACCTTGAAAAAAAATGCAGCCAGCCACAGTCATTATAAATCTCTGAATAATTTCTCTTTAAGACATTTTATGTCCTTTAGCGCTCGTATTTTTTAACATGCAGTTACGCGGTGCACTATTAACTCTGTAGTGATGTTCTCAGAATAAGCTTATTTCAGGCAAAGAAGAATTATCAGAAGGACCAATGCTGTGTTATTTTTATAGAAAAATCTGTGGCGCATCAGCTCAATTTATATTCATGAATACAGTACACGGTTCAATATACTTCACGAATTGGAAATCATCACCTGGGCATTTCTTCATTATGTAAGGAAAATAAAGTAAGGAATATTTCTGTTTCTGCTGGTCTATTCTCAACTGATAGCTTTGCTTCAAAATCTCTTCTGATGCCAGAGAAGCGTTGGGTATCTCTGATCAATTTTTTGGCATTAAAGATGCTTTTCCACAGATATGAGATTAATATCTCCAGTCAACTGAGCAAAATAAAGAAATAAAAAAAAATCCCGGAGTGATTAACTTGGCTGGGTTATAGCATCAAACATCTCCCAAATGCACCAGATTATTATATATTCAAATTTGCTCTTTTACTATGCACAAACACAGTGTCAGCGTATTTTTCAGTCACAAAAATTCCCAACATCAGAAGTGCTGTAACTGAGTTTACAGAAGGCTTATACAGCAATAATAAAATTGCAAGTCCTCTTCTGCTCCCATATACCAATTGAGGGAGTTGGGGGAGAGAGAGGACAAAAATAAAAAAAAATTAGCACTACTATTCTGGTATTTGCAAGACTAGAAGTTTAAGCAGAGAGGAGTCAACTGACAGTGGAAGTGGCAACAGATAATTCATCTCACGTCACTTGCAGGTGACAAAGTAAGTCCCAGATGTTGTAAAGAACAATAGATTGATGGTGGAGCGGGGATCAAGTGACTCTAAGTCGGCGAAAGCAATCAAATACTGGATCTGGACTCACAGGGTTGGACCATGATGTACTGGCACAGGGTGGTGGACTGGTCCTCCACAGAGACAGACTCCATTGGGGCCGTTTTGACACTGTCCTACATGACATTCTGGTCTCTAAAAAGGCATGGATTTGGTGGATGGAGCACTCTGTGGATAACAGTCCTCCACAGAGACAGACTCCATTGGGGCCATTTTGACACTGTCCTATGACATTCTGGTCGCTAAAAAGACATGGATTTGGTGGATGGAGCACTCCGTGGATAAGGAACTGGCTGGATGGCTGCACTCAATGGGTTGTGGTCAATGATTCAATGTCCAAGTGGAAACCAGTGACAAGTGGTGTTCCTCAGGGGTCAGTAATGGGACCAATATTGTTTAACATCTTTGTTGGAGACATGGGACAGTGGGATCTAGAGCACCCTCAGCAAGTTTACCGATGACACCAGGCTGTGTGGCATGGCCAACACACTGGAGGGAAGGGATGCCATCCAGAGGGACCTGGACAGGCTTGAGAGGTGGGCCCGTGTGAACCTCATGAAGTTCAACCAAGCCAAGTGCAAGGTCCTGCACCTGGGTCACAGCAATCCCAGGCACAAATACAGGTTGGGGAGAGAATCGATTGAGAGCAGCTCTTTACAACACTCTGACCACTCAGAGGGGCCTCAATACAAGCAGAAAAATACTTCACGTGGACTCTAACACACTTCCAATGTGATTAGATAGGAGCAAAGAGGGATTAATGTAAGAATCTGACTGCATTGTCTCCTGAACCTTTTCTGCCATTAAGGGAAATTAAGTCACTTCTTTGGCCCAGAAGGTGGCATTGTGGTCTCTTGACCATTTGCTCCCTTGGCTTATGGGTGGAAACAGGGATATTTAAGAAGGTTACTGGCCTGCCTGTGACCTTACAAAGATGCTGGGCTGTCATCTCTCCCTGACTTAATGGGCTTCTTTTTTATGACCAGTACCATTTGGAATACAATGATGTTATAGATGTCAGACCTTGCTGCAGAACCCCAGTAGAGCATTTGGTCAAAAACCAGCATCCTCTTCAAGGCTCTGCAAATGAAGCGAAGCCACTTCACTTTACCTGATAGCAAAGTTATCTGACCCTTTACTCTGTGAAATACCTAAAGAAAGATGCAAGTTCATCTATTCCACTGAGCATAAACACCTGACCAAGGTTCAAAAATACACTTCAACAGTGCAGATGGGGTACAGAGTATTAAAAGGTGAATTAATTCAATCTACACCAAGCTCTATAAGTAAGAAGAAAATGCTGTGAAAAAAACCAAAAAAGCTCAAGTTCATTCTGCTAGACAGCTTCTGTTTCAGCATAAATGCAAGGAGAAGAAAGTGGCGCTCTAAGTAGCTTTCCACTTGAGCAAGAAGCTGTTAACATCAAAAACTAGCTGCTCTGAAATTCCTACCTCTCCAGCCCAAATTCTGCAACTCTGACTCTGCATGCCACGTCACATTTGAAATGGATCCTTCAGTGTTTACCATGTGTTGATGTCTTCACACGTTTGTGTGCACTGGCCAGAAAAAGAATGGAGAGGGGAGAATTGAGACTCTGGATACCTGACTGTCTTAATATATCAACCTCTCAGCAATATTTGTGAAACTATATCATTCTAGCAATTTTTTTTTTTTTTTGACGGCACCAATTATCACTATTCTCCCCAAATTATTTATTTTGCACACACGCAGGAGTTTCAATCCTCAACTCAGCTCTGATGTGCTTTTGACATGCTATTTATTTTTCGATCAAATGAAAATAAGACAGTGTCCTGGAAAGTCTTGGGAACCCAAGGCAGGGCAGGGAGAGCCATGCATTGCCAGGCAGAGGGGGATGTTTTGGAGCTCCACGGGCACCAGGAAACGGGTGAGAAAAGGAAGAGGCACCATGCTTTCTGCAGCAGTAGTTTTCTTCATACTTGCTCTTTCGCTCATTAGCTTTCATACTACATAAAGTGCAATCCTTAAAAGCCTCTTTACTGTCCCCTGAGAACATACATACGTGGGTTATTTTCTAATGGCAGTACACATCAGATGAACCAGCCTATTACTGCAAGCTCCAGGGCCTCTTTACTGCAATTATATCATCCTGCTCCATGTTATCTCTGCTACAAAGGAGGATTTTTTAAATCAGGGCAAACATGAGAGACATTGTTAAACAACCAGAGGAACAAATCGTGCACAGAATTTCAATGAATGCCTCAGAGGAAAACTAAGCCTTGGATTGCAGGAGAAATGGAAGAGGCCGTCATACCATCAAGGTAATTCTCTGAACCTTTACAGCCTACATCACCGTGCTGACAGTCAGCTAACTTAAACATCCCAGAGGGAGAAAGACTGCACGAAAGAACCACAAATGTTTTAATTTCTTAATGAGGCTACGGAGCTCAAAAGACAAAACGCAGTGGTCTTTACACCGCCGCCAATAACGTCACCCAGAGCTGTAATTAAAGCATGTTTGGTGCTCTTCTGGCTTCAGCATGCATCCTTCATGAACAGCACATCCATGTTTGGAGGGACTTTCATTGCTCATTTTAGATTTGAAGCAAGAGAGCTTTGTGATATGTGTGTCAGCACAAGGGGTAAAGAGGAACCTGCACTTTGGCCGATGAGTGCGAAGCTCTCGACACGAGTCCCTGAACTGCAAATCTTACTGTTACTCTGACTACGTGAACTGAGCCCTTGCAATTAAGCCCATCCAATGCAAATGCCTAAATTCACAGTGGTGTTGATGTGAAGTGCTCCGAGAGCTGCTCCCTTCCTGCTTCACTCAGCGTTGTGCTGGGAGAAGCTGAGCTGTTGCCACCAGCAAACCCAAAACGCAGGTACCTTGGCAACATGCTGCAGCGGCGTAGACAAGCAAAGGCCACGACAAAAAACAACTCAAAAGGGAAACCTCAGTAGGGCTAACTGGTCTGGGTGCAGTGCTACACAGATCTGGTCATGCTCCTACCCCTCTCCAGCTACTGCAGTGCCTTTATGGTGCCCCCCGGTATAGACCAGCTCAGACTCTGCTGCAACTACCACCAGGAGCACCAGGAAGAGATTGACTTTGAG